GTTGGACTCGCAGGTTTATGGCATGCGAAAAGTTACTTCACTGAAGCAGCTCGAGGACACTGAGAAGCTATTTCCATTTTGTGTTTTTTCTCTCCCTGTATGGAATAATGTCATTCAACTTTCCCTCATTTTGAGTGCGCAGAAAAGCCTTCAGGTTTTAAAGGGACTTGATCCTCTTTTCCAGACATATTCTCAGAGGATTAAGCAATGAGGCCAAAGTAAAGCACCCTTAATCAAATCAAAATAAATAGTCCCCTTCACAATGGAGGATGCCACATTTTCATTTCTATTTTGCAGGGGATTTGTCCCAGGGAGGGAATATCACAGCGGAAAGGGCCCTGTGCCTGTATAGGGAGTACAGTGTGATGTGGTTTGTGTGTACGTGGGTGTGTCCAGCACTTTAGTGTGCCTCAATGTATGTACATGTAGTGTTTGACAGCATGGTAATTCGCTTTCAGCTCTTACTACAGCCGGTGTTGTTGTTGAGCTCGGCTTTTAGAGCCAAAATGGAAGGGTTTAAGTGCGCCTTAGGAAAGCTTCTGGCATTGCGGCTGTGTGGCACTCCAGGGCATCAAGAAAGCATTTAGTGCAGATTAGAGCTCCTCTCAAGTGTTTCACAAAGTCAGCCTTAAGCTTGGCAATTGTTACCAGGGCTGCCCACCCACCTGCAGCTAGGAAAAATGTTACCAGGACACATCCCATATAGTTTTTCCTCCATCTATTGGAGGTTGTAGACATTGTGGATCTGAATTTTCTTCTGCACCTTACATTCCTCATTTAGATTTGTCTGTCACAGGTTTCCTGTCTTAATGGATGAAATAGTTGTATGTGTAATTGTTGTAGGTATAAAGGTATCAGCTGACATGCCCTTGATAAACATTCCATTTGTCTTCAAATGAAGTGATTCATAGCAGCCAGCTGCAACTACAGCAGCCATTGTGGGTCATTCTTATAAGTCATCTATCAAATTCAAGTGGGAAGTTAAGAGTGGCACTATATGTGTAATGCTGTCATTTCATTTTCAATAATTTTAGACATTTGTCAGCTCATTCACATGCTGTCTTCTTCCAGGAAACTACCCTCGGCCCTCCAACTACAGTGGGAGTGCCAGTACCAGCTACAGTGGCCCTGGCCCTGGCATGACCAACAGTCTGGGGATGAACGCCAGCAGCCCCATGCATGGCCAGGGGCCCGGCCAGCCCATACCTGTAGGACGTAGCCATGGCCCAGGCAGCCAGAACAGGGTGTACCCGCCCATGGCTCCCAGCTCCCCCAGCATGCCCCAGCCAGCTGGACCAGGAATGCGTCCTCCTTCTTTGGGAGGTTCTAACCACAAAGTCAAGGAGGCAGCAGCAGTAGCTGCCGTGCCTGGATCTGCCAACTCAGTGCACAACAGGTAACAACACAGCACCAACTGCACATTGCAGATCCACCTAGCTGTGCCATAATGGTCCAAAATGTGAATAAAAGAAAGAAGAAGAATGGTATAACCATGTATCACACTTTTATGAGACAATTTTACTTCCCTTAGAAAGAGTGGTATGCTAAAATTTGTTGCCTGCGAGCATCTCCAGCTTACATCACTCACTGTCTGGTGAGTGGCTTCTCTCTGCAGGTCATTTATGGGCAGGTGTGCTGAAGAGCACTGCAGAGAGTTTCTGTGTCACAAAGTGTGTCTTTTTTTTTTTACAGTGTTTTCAGATGTGCAACCTGGAGTTTGTTCTCAGGGGTTCTGTGCTTCTATGAGCCATTTGCAGAACTATCCCTATTTTCACACATCTCATAAAGTGCCTGACATTTTGATAGCTGGCAAGATACGCCAAGTGCCATTTGTTGCAGCAAGAGACATATTGGCTTGTGAGGAGACTGTATGTGTTGAATACCACACTGTCAAAACAAAGAAGAAGAAAAAGCAAACCACAGCTTTAACTGTGAAAACAGCAGAGACAGAGATGACACCAAGCACCTTAACACTAATACAAAGCACTTTGATGCTATAACAGTATATGAGTTCAGGGATATTAGTTGCCCATCAGGGTTGGATCTTTGAATATACCAGTGTTTGTGGCACTGGAGAGCGGGGCTGTTGTGGGATTGTGTGGGCAGTAAACTTTTGCTGAACCCTGCTGAGAGAGCTTGTGAAAACATGGCGTCTTCGGAGAGGAACGGCAGATTTCTGCACTTGCTCCAATCAGTGCAGGTTTTGCCTAACAGTGCATCATGGGAGCAGCCTCGCCAGCATTCTGCAGGCTGAAGTGGCAGATTAACATTTGTCAGTGTTCATTCCTGTTTCTGATGATGCATGAGTCAGAGTGAAGACTGGGAGCTGGTGATGATTTTTCAGATGAACTTTCTGTTTTCTGTGGGGGGCTGCTGATGCTAAGCTGCAGGCGACTTCCGTGTTTATGGTCCTCAGTCCAGTTGCAGTCACCCCAGCACACCTGCACCCACTGGCCTGCACCCCAGCCTGCCTCTACCTGTGCACCACCTTCACCTCCACCCAGACCTCACCACCCACCTATCCTGTCACCCTCACATTTAGGGCACCATAGGTAGGTCCACCACCCTCATAACATGTACAAATCCTGCCTAGAATGTCTACATGTGCTCATGTGTCAACTGAATGTACATTTTTCAAGCTAAACAAAACTGAAAGTGATCATGATGTTATTTTTCACAAGCTCCCTCTGAGAGCAAAACAATAGGAGCCATCATTGTAATTGCCATCATCATGTTCCTCATCATCACCGTAGTCATCATTATCCCCATTGGCATGTGTTAGTCACTCTGGCACCGAGTGAGTACATACAGATTGATGCATGGACACATACAGATACACTTACTGAGGTTCAGATTGTTGTGTCCATTGTGTTGTGGTGGGTGGGGTGGAGCGAGATATGCATCCTTAATTGCTGTTGGTGTCGCGCATCGAGGACCTAGTGTTGTTCACACACACACTTAAACACACATGCAAATGTTGGCCAACCCGTTAGTGGCTGGGCTGTCAGTAAGAAGTGGCATGACATGATTCCCACTGCTGGGACCAGCCAGACTGCATGTCAGTCTCTCCTCACATTCACCAAGACACCAGAGGTGTCACTCGCCGTGGTGTTGCTGCAGAGAATGCTCTCGCTCTCTCTCCTACTCTCTCTGCTTGTTTACAAAGCTGTCTAAATGTGGATTTGTGTCTTCATCTATTTTTCCATCTTCACAGTGTTCCATTCAGTCTTCCTTATCCTTTGTGGGTGGGGTTCGATGTATGGCATTAGGTAGTCATTAATGAGTTGTTTTTAGCCCTGATGCAAAGATCACATTTCACATTTCTTTTGAGTTTCTCTTTTATTCTCTGTTCAACTAAAGTGGCCATTGCTGCACAGGCTAACTTCTTAATTGCTGCTGTGTTTATTCAGAATGAGCATTCACGGAGGAGACCCTGTTAGTGGATATTCAGACCAACAGAAGACTTCTCAAAACTAGAAGGTGTAAAAAAAAAAAGCCAGCTGGGTGAAAGTATTTGTTCCTAAAGCAGATCAGTGGTCACAGATTTGAATCATTTGTCATATTTCTTTCTTCTTCTTTATTCACAAAATAGTTGTTTTAATTAATAGCAAGTTTTTATAACATATATGAATTAAGCTTCCAATTTAAAAAAAGATTCCAAATATTTTGTTACAATGGATTTGCAGAGTACTCCAGTGTCTGTGCTGCCTGTCTCACCCTTAGTGTTATTCTTGCCTGCTGTCACTCATTCTGCCTCTTTCATCCCTCGCTGTCTGCCTGTGTTCCTCTCCTCCCACCTGTTTTATTCTTTTAACCGACTCTCCCAACAGTATCACCCTTTCTATCTTTGTGCAAAACTGTCATTCTACCCAGACTGTTTTATCTTTTTCACTCTTTCTTCCTCCCAATTTACTTTTTGTTCTTTGTTGTTTTCAGCACAGTCTTGTTATGTATTTTATTCTTCAGATCCCACTTTGGAACATCTGAGGGAGATCAGGAGAAAATTGGCCTCTGAAAACCTGCTGTTAAAGGCTCCAGCACCCCATTTGCTCTCCAGATCTGCAGCACAACATTGTGAAACATTCAGACCTAGTTCCTCTCTTTCTGTGAAACAAGTTATGTCTACTTTCGCTGTTTGATGAACCAACCCAGGATGAACTGCGCCGACAGTCTAAGTCAGGGGCTGATTGTCAGTAATATCATTGGTTGGTTTTTCCTACGTTTCCTCTTTTTCTTCAGCACCTTGTTTCTCTACACCCCCACCAGTTATCCCTCTGCATTTTCAGCTCTTCTCCCACATCTGTAGTCTCCCCTGACACACGCCCTCACACACTAGTGACAGACTCCAGCTTCATTACACTGAGTGAAAAAACTCCACATGAACAGAGGAGGGCCACTTCTGCTATCCCATTGCTGCAGATGAGGGCAGTGATTAAATCTTCATAAAGTGTAGCGCAAGTGTCACCCTCCCCCCACCCCCAAAGCTCCCTCAGAGTTTCTCTTCACCAGCCAAATGGAATCAGAAACAAATGTTCCACTTTTATTAGTTCATCAGTGCCACTTCTTCATGCACTGGTATCTAATTGAAAATAAGGCTCAGCTGCCAGATGTCAGCAGGATGAAGTGCAGCATAAAACGTCTAAGATGTTATGTTCAAATAACGCAGGTGATGCCAAGCCTGTCAAAGTGGAGGATGTACATGTTTGTTTGGAAGCAAGGTGCAGTAGAACATTTTTAGGGCCTGGAGATTGATGTTGGGGAATTTCTGGAACAGAGAACAGAAAGTATTAAAAGGTATAAGCTTTTCTTGGCAGCAGCTTCTGAGGACAGAATTGGCTTTTCAAATGACTTTCCAGCGCTGCCAGCGACACTCTACAAAAAGTTCCTGGAGCTATAGGAACGGGCTCTGTCGAAAAAATAAGCACTTAATAGAAGAAGAGCAAAGCTCAGGAAGAAAAAAAAGTGGTAAATCAAAGGGAAATTGAAGGGAGAAAACTGTTGGAAGAGGAAAGAAGGAGGAGAGGAGAGTGCTCCCAGGCAAATCCTCGCCAAATAATTCATTTCTGACCTCCTTAGTAAGTAAATTTGCTAAATAAATAAGAGCAGAGCTTGAATGTCAAGAATGGGGGATGCTGCCTGTGGCGCTTTGTCGCTCACAGTCTTGGCAGTGCTGCGGAACGCTCCGCTTTCATTAGATGGGCAAAATAAATGACTTCTCCTCCATCCATCCTGAGCTGTTTGATGTTTGAGTAGGAGTAGAGGGAGAAGGGAAGAGTAGCTTTTCTCTGGATTTAATATGTTAAAAGCTGTCCTTTTATTTTTTGTCAGGGTTTATTCTGGTCTCCCCTCTGTGTGTGTGTGTGTGTGTGTGCTTATATGTGTGGTGAGTTGAGTCAGGAGTTTGGAGGAGCCACGAGCCCAAGCTGCCCTGAGAACAGATTGGGTCCATATATAATTCATGACCTACAGCCAATCCACTCCATCCTTCCATCCAGCAGTGTCTCCCTGGCTCTTTCGCTCTCACTTTCTTCTTAACACACATACATAGCAGAGGCAGTCGATAGGGAGGGCCACTCAGCCCTCACACACTCCTGCAGTCCCAATGCTTCTGCTGTCTCATCCAGTTAGCAGCACTGGGAAGCATCAGCGTGGCCTGTCACCACGAATGAAGGACAAAGGCACTGCCACTTCTACAGAGAGACTGTCAGCTGGTTGGCTGGCACCTTGTAACCATGGCATCCCCTTGGCAACAGCGCCCACCCCGTGCAGGAACACAAGGACACGTTCAACCACACACTGACTCACTAACACTCTGCACATGGTGTGAAAGTGGCCTTCTCAGATGCCCTTCACACATATGGACTGAATAGGAAAGGGAGAGAGACAGTTCTCTGTGTGTGCGTGTGTGTAAGCGCACACCCCTGGTATTACTCATATTGTGAGGACCAAAACCTGTTAACACACTCACATTGCAGGGACTTGGCCTTCCCCTCACATGGACCAGATGCAGATGTCCACCATGTAAATCACTGAATTTTAGAGTGATGTCTAAGGTTATGGTGAGGTTAAGGTAAATGTGAGGGCTACGGTTATTCAAGTAGTGGTTATGGTTAGGGTAAGTCTTCAGGAAATGAATGTAAGTTAGTGTAAAGTCACACAAGGAATAAAAACTAACGATCATGTGGGCATGTGTGTGGACTTAGGGAACAAAACAAGGGGGAGAGTGAAGGACAGCAAGGGTGTAGCATTTAGAATAGTTGTTACTCTGAAGTAGGAAAAAAGCTGTTTCTCTTGACACACTTTTTTTTATTTTAACTGTGGGAGATGATGGCTTCTTGGTCCTAATGGTGACTGGGCAGGCTGCACCAAAAGCTGAACTATCCCCCATCTTCACTCTACTATGATGTCTAAACTCTTAACTCTAGCTTTTCTTAAAAACCCTGGAAAACTGTTCATCTCCTCGGGCCACTCCTAGACAACAAACTGATAGTGCACTGGCCTGATGGTGCTACGATAGATGTTTCTTACTGAAAGAGAGAAAGAGAGTGTGTGTGTGCGTGTGCATGTGTGTGCGTGTGTGTGTGTGTTCCCTTGGCTCAATCACATGGAACAATGATTACCTCCAGCTTTGGGGCCCTGAGCTGAAGATGCATGTCCCATCGGTCCACCAGGGACTCATGCACACACTACTCAGGCATATTCTTGCCTTCATT